ACTTTTAGCTCACACAGCACATACAGACCCATTACTTTTTGAGAGCCATTGTATACAAGTGGACACTGCTGAAACCTCCTGACGAGTGAACAGCACGATTACAATAAAGCTTTGTCTACGAAACTCTGGAGTTAAGTGACAATTTTCATATCTGTATTAATCATATACGTGTGCGTCTGTGTGTGTACGTGGAGAGAAAACAGTTGAGAGAAATTGGCTGAGTCACAGAAAAGAAAGAAAATGATGGACTTCAGAAACTTCTAGTTTGATAAAAAAAAAAATCCCATCAATCGTATTCATTCCGTATTGTCAGACATTCTTAGACAAAGGCCGTGAAAAACAGGTAATGGCAGTCTGAATTGTTTTCTCGGTACGTTAGCCATTTTAGAAAATGGCGGCTTCTGTCTAAAATGTCTTTCAATGCTATCTGTGCAGTATAGTCTAATGTGCTATGCATTCAAATCAAGTTAACCAATCAACTCACACCGTCACTCCGAATCACTTTTATTTCTTTATTTATATTTATTTTTCCCCCCTTATCCTAAAACTATTGATATTTTAAAAGATGCTAGATTTTAAACCTCTGATTTCTTACTAATGGATTACTGAATGGCTCACAAGAAAACCATTAGTATCCATTTTTAGCATGCCATTTACTTAAATCATTTACGAAACATTTGCAGTTAGAGCTGAGTGTTGGCAAAATGTTCTTTTTCACTTGATTAAGCACTAATAGTAGTTTTATCGAGCACTTGACACATAAAAATGCATCTACAGGTAAAAAGAAATGTGAGTTAGGTTTCACTGAAACGTTGCTACCACTTTTATACGTACATACATACACACACACACACACACACACACACATATATATATATATATATATATATATATATATATATATATATAAGTTTTTTATCCCAAGCAAGGCGAGAAGCCACTAGGACGCAAGGGGTTACAGAAGATTTAGAGCAAGATCAGATAGGAGTGATAGAGGAAAGGATGGGGAGAAGGATAGTGGATAGATCAAGGCAACTGGAGATGTCGATTGACATTACATTTGAATAGTTGGAGATTATAGCTCTCAGGGAAACTGGAATAGGGAAGGGAGTTCCACAGGCGAGAGGTGCGAGACATGAAGCTATTGGAGTAGAAGAGACGGCTACATTTAGGAGTTTCGACAGTGAAAGGATGAGAGCGGGATGCCAGCCTCGTAGGGCGCTTGAACTCATGAAATCTGGGAACCAGCGAATGCAGATCCTCGGAGCAATTGCCATGAACGTATTTGTAAAAAAGAATAGTGGCACCTTGGTTCACGAATTTAATTCGTTCCTGAAGGCCGTTCGTGACCCGAAACTATTTTTTCCAATAGGAATCAATGTAGAGAAAAAAAAAGAAGAGTACGCCACAACACACGAATGTACACAGCACGGCGATCGACTAAGAAAAGATTCCGTTTGAAGATTCGGTTCGGCTCGGCAATGTTGTGATGTGAGACATTCGAGAACCGAGGTTGCACAGCAATACACACACACACACACAGAGACACACACACACACACACACACACACATATATATATATATATATATATATCGTGCACCCTCGATTTGTCACACACACACACACACACACACACACGCACACAACATATATATATATATATGTATATATATATATATATTGTGCAACCTCGGTTCTCGAACGTTTCACTTATCGAACAAATCGGTTTTTGAACATATAATATATATACACACACACACACACACACACACACACACATATATATATATATATATATATAGAGAGAGAGAGAGAGAGAGGGGGAGAGAGAGATAGAGAGAGAGATAGAGAGAGAGTAAGAGAGAGAGAAAGATAGAGAGAGAGGGGAGGAGGAGTCTCCGTTTGATGTCAAATCGCTCGAGTTTCGATCTCGGCTTCAGGAAATCGCGTGTCTAGCACTGAACACTGAAGAGTCTGTCTGTGGATACTATATATATATATATATATATATATATATACTATATATATATATATATATATATATATAGTGTGTGTGTGTGTTGTGTGTGTAATCTTTTCAAAATCAAGTTTCTCACAAGCGGGTTGAATATTTCGACTTCTATAAAATTTGAATAATTAATAATACATTTTTTTGACTGTCACTATGGACTCGTGGACAGTCAAGGTATGATTGTTTGATTTGACAGAAAAAAAAAGAATTTCCTCTATTTTCCTTTGAATCTGATTTGCTGTCGATATAAGTGTTTTTCATTCCATTTTCCCCCCTTAAAACCCTCTCATTGCGTACTTTTTCCCAGTGGTAGACTAGCCAATTTGTCAGCATTCCCGATAGGCTCCTGATTGAGTGGACTCCCTATATTGAATGAAAATGCAATAAAGGCAACTGTTATTAGTAATAAAACGGAATAAGAACTTTATAAATTCATCTGCAGACTATCAGTTACTCAAGTCCAATGTGAGAGGACATTTTCGAAGATAAAGGTCATAAGAACAAGGTTAATAAATTCGCTCTCTTTGAAGAATTTGGAATCATACATGTTGCTATCCATTGAAAAGGAATTCTTAGATGAATCGGATGCAGAAACAATTATTGGCAGATTCAAACAATCATCTATTGAACACAAACGATAACTCTTAATATAGCGGACTGTATGCAATGCGATTTACGGCCACATAACGTTGAAACACTAGTTCATGTACGATGTTAAGCAACGCCAATCCTGGTTGGTAACTAGATGGGTGACAGCTCGGGAATACCAGGTGCTGTAAGCGTGGATGTGGGGATAGTGAAAAGGGTGGGATATGTTTGCTAAGTCGAATCGACGTGGGAGTGGCCGTAGATTAGAAAATAAGACTTCATCCACGAGCAGTGACAGACTGGGCAGGGTGTCAGTTTACCCGATGGTAATTGGGATCGAGTCGACCGCCTATATTAAGTAAAAATGCAATAAAGAAATCAAACACTGAGAACTGTTTTAGTAGTAAAAAGTAATAAGAACTTTGTGAAGTCATCTTCAGACTATCAGGTACTCAATTCCAATGTGAGAGGACATTTTCAAAGCTAAAGATCATAAAAATATGGTTAAGAAATTAGGTAATTTTATTCCCTTTTATTGATAAAACAGTCTTCTCATTTAATGTCTTCTCATTCAGCGACCTCATTTAGCAAATTCTCATTTAGCGACTTCTCATTTAGCGACTTCTCATTTAGCGACTTCTCATTTAGCGACTTCTCGTATAACGACTTCTCGTTTAGCGACCAGGTTTTTGGAAGAGAATTCGGTCGCTAAGTGAGAGCTAACTGCTTTATGTGGAAAATAACAGAAAGATTTTAAGAGAAGCAGATTAAAATAAAAAAGTGACAATATATGAAGAATTGATTAATGGGTATTTGCTGTGTCTTTATTACGATAACGTTTCAGTCGTGGTGCTCTCTTGACTTCTTCATGTGTCTATCGATGTAGGTAAATATCAGCTAATTTCGAACTGAACCTTTGTTCAGTCTATGGACAGTGGCGTACTGGTCAGGGTGGCAGCTTGCCCGATAGCCAGTGCCCCTTCCCCCACTACATAAAATAAAAATGCACAAAAGAGACAAACACATACAACTGTTTTAGTAGTAAAAAGGAATAAAAACTTTATAAAGTCATCATCAGACTATCAGTTACTCAAGTACGATGCAAGACGATATTTTCAAAGCTAAAGATCATAAAGACAAGATTAGAAATAAGCTTTCTGAGGAGAATTTAAAATTATACATATTGCTAGCCATTGAAAAGGAATTGTTACATGAATTGGATGCAAAAACAATTATTGGCAGATTCACAAAGAATCTATTGAACACAAACGATTGTTCTTAATATAGTCGACTGCATACAATGCTCTATTGTGTTTTTGAACGATATTTTAATGTGTAAATTGTGCAGTAAATGTATTTCAAAATATCAATCGATTACTTAAAATTAAAACAAATAAAATATTCCAGATTGCTCAGATTTGAAAGGTGTTAAAGTGGAGTACGGGGCCAGTAGAAGATGTGCTGACTTGTAGTTGGGGGCAGTGGCAGACTGGTCAGGGTGTCGGATTACCCAATGTCAAGTTGGTCCCTGATGGTATGGGCCAATTATGTCAAATAAATATGCAATAAAGAAACAAACACAGGCAAAGAGATAAATACTTTATAAAATCATCCACACACTACCAGTTACTCAGTTCTTGGTGCGTTGGTTTCTGAAGAGCTAAAACAACACCTCTGTAAGCAGTAGTGGACTGACAGCTTGCAAATTGGCTCCTGATAGAATGGGCCCCTTATATCAAATAAAAATGTAATAAAAACAAACATAGACAACTGTTTTAGTTATAAAAATGAATAAAAACTTTATAAAGTCATCCACACACTATCAATTACTCAAGTCCGATGCAAGACGACATTTTCAAAGCTAAAGATCATAAAGACAAGGTTAAGAAATTCGCGCTCTTTGCAGAAATTGGAATCATACATATTGCTATTCATTGAAAAGGAATTCTTTGATGAATCGGATACAGAAACAATTATGGGCAGATTCAAACAATCATCTATTGAACACAAACGATAGCTCTTAATATAGCGGACTGTATGCAATGCGATTTACGGCCACATCACGTTGAAACACGAGTTTATGTACGATGTTAAGCAACGTCAATCCTCGTTAGTACCTAGATGGGTGACCGCTTGGGAATATCAGGTGCTGTAAGCATGGTGGATGTGCAGCTGATGTAACGGATGACGACTCGGTAACCGGACAGCCGAGTTCCAATTCTGGTTGGGTTTGTTATATTCACTTATGGCGCACATACACTTTGGAGAGGTATGAATCCACAACATCTCTCCCCCGCTATGGGAGACGATAAAATGCATCCGCGTCCTGGGTGGGACAAAAAACTACGTCCAACTTCATTTTTAGTGTTTCCAGATTCACTCTGACCCGGGGTGACCTGTTGCGGCCATTATCACGTTGAAACACCAGTTCTCGTACGATCACCGAAGTTAAGCAACGCCGAGCTTGCCTAGTACCTAGACGGATGACCGCTTGGAAGTACCGGGTGCCGTAAGCTCGGATGTGCGGGTGGTGTAATGGGTAACGGCTTGGAAGTGGAAATCGTAGAACTGCTTGGTCCTGGTGAGATTGGTGTTATTTTACAAATACTCCCTGAATTGATTGAGAAACTCTGCAATGCAGTATTTACATTGCTCGTAATACCATCCTCATCTTTGTTGCTATATTTATCACAACGTTTTGGCCGTTGTACGATCCGCCCTTCTTCAGGTGGTTGGAATGTCGAACTGAACCCTTTATTTCGCTCGCTGGGGTAGACAGTTCTAGTTCCACTAGTCTAATGGATGTCAGTTATCAGTTATCTCCTGTTAATTCCCCCGAGTGTGAGTTCAATACCTGGTTAAGGCAGTGGAGAACTTGCAGAGGAGAATGTGAATTAGGCTTCTCAACCCGAAATATCATCAAAAATAAGAAGCAAGAAAGACTACGTTCAACTGAAAAAGAAATGAAGGTCTACTTATCGCACATTCGACCAAACATTCAAGAAATCGCGAATAAACACCAGTCACAGGTTTCAAACTAAAAAAGGCGCCCAAATTATTGAATTGAAATAAAGTAAGTTCATATTTGTGTGTATTTAAAAAAAAAATCTATGGTTTTATTTGATAACATTCAAATCTATACACTTTAAATATTTTATTAAGTGTTCCCTGATGTTTTCATTTGCTCGTAATTGTGCCCTTGCTTAAAAAGTTTGAAAAAAAAACTGACCTACAGCAAGGGACCTTCTGTGTTGACCACTACTTACGGAGGGCTACATGCATTTTTCTCGCACAGGGTAACAATTTGCACATGAGACAAATCGGCGTCTACAATCTGTACAGTTTTAAAGTTACCTTTACATCTGATAAAACTAATTCGAACTCCCAACATATTCTATATTCGCAGGTGAAAAAGCTATCTTTGTGAAGGAAAAGAGAATGACTGTACGTGTAAACACACACACACAATATATATATATATATATATATATATATATATATATATATATATATATATATATATATATATATATATATATGTGTGTGTGTGAAAAGTGTATAGAAATATAAATAAATATATATATGTATAATTATTTATATATTATATGCGCGGTACTTATTAGAAAGCGCTCAATATCAGAGATAGAGCTAACATATTTATCAAATAAAACCATACATTTTTTCATATATATTTTTTATATGCATTTTTTTATTTTTTTATAACATAATATCCGAATAGTGACGTTCCATATCACGTGACGTCCGCGTCTCGCGAAGGACGCTACTTGCTAACAAACAGTAATTTCAATTTATTTGTAACAAACAGTTATTTCTGATGAAAAATTGAGGACAATTTGAAATATCAAATATATATATAAATAAATAAATACTTTCATAAAATAAAACATTATTATTTTTTAATTTGAAACTTTTTCTATATATACATATTAAGAAAGTATCAATGTGTAATTAGTAATGGTACAGAGTTCATATTTGAATAAATGAATAAGTATGAAAGATTTTATTCCACATTGCCCAAAAAGGCTTGATCAGTTTTACTGCAATTTTCTACATCTTATTCATGTGAATTAGGCTCTATAGACCTAATATTTATCTGAATTAGGCTTCTCAACTCTAAATATTATCAAAAGAAAGAAAGGAGAAATGAGGGTCTTCTTATCGCACATTCGACCAAACATTGAAGAAATCATAAAAAAAACCCCACCAGGCACAGGTTTCGCACTAAATAAGCTACAAAAATAATTGAATAGAAACGGTGAAATAAAGTAAGCTCATATTTGTGCGTATTTAAAAAAAATGTATGGTTTTATTTGATAATTTTTAAATCTATATACTTTAAAGATTTTGCTAAGTGTGCCGTGATATTTTCTATTCGTTCGTAGGTGCGCCCTTGCTTAAAAATGGCGAAAAAAAACTGACCTACAGCAAAGGACCTTCTGTGTTGACCACTACTTACGGAGGGCTACACGCATTTTTCTCGCACAGCGTAACAATTTTCACATGAGACAAATCGGCGTCCACAACCTGTTCAGTTTTGCAGTTACCTTTACATCTGATAAAAGGTAATTCGCTCTCACAACATATTCTAAATACGCAGGTGAAAAAGCTATCTTTTTGAAGGAAAAGGGAATAACTGTACGAGTGAACATTTGCGTGTCTAGTAAAAATAAGAAAGCAAATAAAATAAAATAAAAATAATAATAGTGGTGTGGTTTTCTTATCATCTGAGAGTTTTTCTTTTGTGGGGCTCGTAATATCGTCGCATTTGTTGAGGTTTCAAGCTGGAGTAATATCCAAGCTGCCTTTGTACGCAGATAAAAGCCAGGCGTTATCTGGTAAAAACAGCGAAGCACTAACGGTATTTTCCTATTATTTTAAGAAACAATTTGAGGACTGGTCAAATTTGGAAAAGCGCCATTTTATCAACATTTGCAGTCCGAAAATTTTCAGTTGAGGGCATACAATAAACCTCGATTTATACTCTTGGTTTAAAAAAATATTCGGAATGAATAATAATAATAATAATAATAATGAAGAAATCTCGAAAATGTGGCATATGGGAACATCAACAATCCCTGTTGTAGTTGGAGCCCTAGGACTGGTTGGAAAAGATTCCAGTAGAATAATTGAAGGGATTCCTGGAAGTCCATGCCTTAAGGAGATACAAAAGATTGTTCTGACAAGTACAGCCCACACTTTACGAAGGGCTTTATCTATGTAATATTTTTTTTTTGTCAGTGGAAAGTGTCATGATGCCATTTCTAACCTTAGGTCCCTGGGCGGGACCCGGAAAGAAATGAGTAAACGCCAGAAATCAAAGAAAATAAAAATAATAATAATAATAATAATAACTGGTTGGAAAAGATTGCAGTAGACTAATTGAAGGGATTCCTGGAAGTCCATGCCTCAAGGAGATACAAAAAATTGTTCTGACAAGTACAGCCCACACTTTACGAAGGGCTTTATCTATGTAATTTTTTTTTTTTTTTTGGTCAGTGGAAAGTGTCATGATGCCATTTCTAACCTTAGGTCCCTGGGCGGGACCCGGAAAGAAATGTGTAAACGCCAGAAATGAAAGTAAATAATAATAATAATAATAATAATAATAATAATCTTGGTACACAGAACCAATGCTTCTTAACTAGAGATTAGCACACATACTAAAATATTGTGTTAGCCCAAAAATGCAGATTCTTTCAGCTTCTCTTGGACTTTTGGCACGTGAGTTTTATTCTTTATATCAAGGCTTCGTTTCATTTGCCTGTTTTTTCTTTCATTCATTTTATGGCCCTTGTCCACTTCACTTAGAAGTGACAATTTTCCTCGTACATTATTTCGGTTTCTATTTTTTCTTTCCTGACTAGCATTTTTCTTTTTCTTTTAGACTGTATTTTTACTTTTTCACCTGCTGTTTCTCCGATCGCTGCTGAGGCCGCATATATAAGATGATTAATTTCTGTCAGGTTCATCAGTCTTTCCATTTCGTCCCTTATTTTTTAATTGCTTGTTTAGAGAAGTTGATGGTTTCCTTCACTTGACGGTTCTTTCTTACTTTTGGAATAGTTGGCGTTTCCTCGAAAGACATTTCCTTTCCATTTTCCTATTTATATCGGTTGTTTTTTGTTCGCGCATGTCAATATACTTGTAAAATCTAGATTGCACATGAAATATGAAAGCACGTTGATACACTAGTAAAATCTGGATCGCAAAAGTAGTAAGAATGCATTTTCATATACTTGTAAAATCTCAATTTTAAAAAGCAATAAGAACGTATGTTGATATATATATGACGTAGCACATTATGAAATGGACAAAATCCGACAGTTATTTTAAGACATTTTATGTTTATACATATTTTTTATAGATACAAATATTTAAGTAAATGCTCTGTCTATAATAAACAGTATTAAACAACATTTACCGGCCTGAATGTCCGAGAAATTTTCATAGAAAATGTTCGACCTCCGACAGGATGCAAACCTGTATCCTATACGGAACCGTCATATAGCCTGACGTGCCTTTTAACCGATTCGGCCACAGTGGATCGTTCGGTTAGATCGTTCGAATTTACTGCTTTTAAACTTCAATCATCCATGAATCTCTCACGTACATTCATATCTGTTAAAAGCAGTAAATTCGACCTTATTTATCTTTTTATTTTATATATATATATATATATATATATATATATATATATATATAGACAGCATATCTTTATCCAAGTTTGTGTTTGGACATATGTCTTACTGTAATCCTCTCGAATTCTCGAATCGACTTCTTAATGTTAATACAAAGAATTATAACGTGCCTAAATAAAATAATAAAGCCTAACGTGCCTTTTAACCGATTCGGCCACAGAGGATCGAACCGAAATTGAACTGGCGCGAAACATAGAACCAACTTTTGTAAAATCTGGATTGCAAATGCAATAAGGATGCATGTTGATATACTTGTAAAAACTAGATTGCAAATGTAGTAAGAATGCATATCCATCTCTTGATATACTTGTAAAATCTAGACTGCAAAAGTAGTAAGAATGCATGTCGTGAGAGAGTTTTTAGCACAGAAAGATGGTGTTCTTGTTTAGTTAACGGCAATCGAAGCATGTCCGTTGTGATCAGTCTTGTGTTGCGATGAATTAACAGAACATTATCGATAAATATGGATTCGAATGAAGAATCTATCAGTAGGGCGTTTTCTTTCCATAGTTGTCGCTCCGGAAATTAACGATAAGTTCCTTTCATAGAATATGGCGAACAAACATCTCCACACGACGTTTTCATTGCACGGCATCAGGTCCAGCGTAGGCAATAGACGACGCTTATTCCGCTGAAAAGGACCGGAAGCCTCGAGTGGCAGATTACGAATGTGGGGAAAAAAACCTGTATAAGGGAATGCTTTCATAACACCTCGACTGTTTATTGTGCAAGATGAGATTATATATCAACGTGAAAGGCAAACTGCGCAAAGCTTATAAGAGTTCTACTTGCTGT